GACACGCGGCCTCCACGCACGGCTCCTCCTGCAGCGCCGCTCCCGCGCAGGCGCCGCCACCCGCGCGCTCCGCGGCGCAGTGCCGGAAGCGCTTCCGCACCCCCGGCCGCTCCGCGTGGTGGGAGCAGGATTTGGAGCAGGGCGACCAGGACGTCCAGGCGCTCCAGAGGCCGCTGGGCTCTGGACAGGGAGCGGCGGTGAGGCGGGAGCGCGGCCGGCACCGGGACCCGCTCGGCTCCACGCTGGGCACCTACCGGCGCCGCAGGGCGCGTGGCACCCGCGCACCTCCTGGGCGTCCCCGTCACACGGGGCTCCTCCACGGGCCGCCGCGGGGTTGGTGGGCGACCTGCAGGCGCGCAGCAGCGTTGCCGCCCGCGCGCCCTGCCGCGCCGCTCCCGCCGCCGCCGCCCCGCACCTGAAGCGCTGCTGCGTGCCGGCGCCGCAGCTGCGGTCGCACGCCGTCCACGGCGACCACGCCGACCAGCCGCAGGCCACGGGGCACGCGGTATCCTCACACGTCACCGCGCCGTCCAGGCACACGCTGGGCGCGGAGGCGGTGAGCGGCGGGGACACGCGCCGCGACGGGCACGGTGCGTCCCGTCGGCGGTGGCGCCGCCGCCGCGCTCACCACGTTTGGCAGCCGTCGCGCAGGAAGGTCTCGCCGGGCAGGCGGCGCTCCCGGCCCGTGTGGCAGTGGCACTGGCTGGCGTTGACGCAGCCGCCCGCCTGCAGGAAGAGCCCCGGCGGGCACCGGCAGCCTGCCCGGAGCGCGCTGTCAGCGCCGGCTCTGGTTGGCATCCCCGTGGAGAGGCGCATGGGCAGGATGCCCATGCACAGGCAGGGTGCATGTGCATGGATGGAGCGCACATGCATGGCAAGGGTGCACGTGCATGGAGGGGGTGCATGTGCATGGAAAGGGTTCGTGTGCACGGACGGGGTGCATGTGCATGGGTGGCGTGCACGTGCGAGGAAAAGATTCATGTGCATGGAAAGGGTGCGTGCACATGGGTAGGATGCACATGCATGGTTGTCGTGCACATGCACGGCTGGGGTACACGTGCATAGATGGAGTGCATGTGCATGGCCAGAGTGTACATGTACGGATGGGGTGTACATGCATGGCTAGGGTTTATGTGCATGGATGTGGTGCATGTGCACTGCAGGGGGGCATGTGCATGGTCAGGCTGCATGTGCATGGATGGGGTACCCATGCACAGTCAGGGTGCACATGCATAGGAGCACGCGCCATGCACACCCTGGGCACGGGTGCTGTAGCAGCGCGTGCCGCGCAGGCGCTCACCCTCCTCGCAGCGGCTGCCGCAGCTCGGTGCAGCGCTCAGGTCCCCGCAGGCCTGGGCGCACGGGGACACCAGGCCCCGCTCGCAGTCCCCTGCCCGCACCAGCCGCATGCCGGGGCCGCAGTCTGCAGCGGGAGGCAGAGGCGGGCGGCTGCGGCGGGGCCGGGCGGCCGCAGCGGGGCCTGCGCGCGGCGGTGGCCCCCGTTCTTGGGCGGGGGGCTGGTGCAGCTCCGCGCGCGGCTCCGCGCGCCCCCCCGGCACTCGGCGTCGCAGCGCGACCAGGCGCCCCAGGGCGCCCAGGCACCGGGCACTGCGGCCGGGGCGGCGCGGGAGGAGGGCGCCCGTGCGCCCCACGGGTGGACCCACGGCCCCATGCAGCCCCACAGCCCCATCCAGCCCCACGGGTGGACCCACGGCCCCATGCAGCCCCACGGGTGGACCCACGGCCCCAAAGCCCCATGGCCACATCCAGCCCCACAGTCCCATCCAGCCCCGCAGTCCTGTCCAGCCCCACAGCCCCATCCAGCCCCACAGCCCCGTCCAGCCCCACAGCCTCATCCAGCCCCACAGCCCCGTCCAGCCCCATGGCCCCGTCCAGCCCCACAGTCCCATGCACCCCTGTTAGGGCAGGAGATCCCACACAGACGCCAGGCAGGGCATGGGCCCCCCATGCACCTGGACAGGGCGGGGGATCCCACCCAGACCCCTGTCAGGGCAGGGGACCCCTGTGCACCGCATTGAGGGCAGGGGACCCCCCAGAGACCCCAGGCAGGGGATGGGGACGCCGTGCAGACCCCAGGCAGGGGACAGGGATCCCTGCACCCCATCCAGGGCAGGGGACCCAACGCAGACCCCAGGCAAGGGACGGGCTCCCCGTGCACCCCGGTTAGGGCAGGGGACCCCACGCAGACCCCATGCAGGGGTCGGCCCCCCTGCAGCCCACCCGGCTGGGGTCCCCGCGCCCGTCCCCGCGCGGCGCCGCTACCTGGGCAGGCGCGCAGGAAGCAGGCGCGGCTGTGGAAGCGGGGCCGGGCGCAGGTGCCGCCGGGCAGGGCGCCGCGCAGCAGCTGCCGCC